AGAGGACAGAAAAGGCTAATCCAGTTATTAAAGTTAAAATGAGGATTATGAATGTAACCATAGTCATAATTTCTATTTTTTCCTTTATTTCTATCTTAAAACCATAGAAGAGAGAATATCAACCAAGAAGTCTGTTTTATTGTCTCTCCCATCCTGTATGCTTTATTTACTAAAATTTGTATGTAGCGTAAAAGCAATTTACCTGATAAGAAGCTCTGATCCCAGTCTTTGTCTGCTTTCTGATTTTTGTGCTGTCCTATTTGGCCACACCCCTGCCTTTCAGGTTACAGATACATGGTGTGTTTGCACTTTGCACCTGTAACTTGGAATTACTTTGACAGATTCTGACCACAGCCCACCACACCTCCACTCCCGCATGTTTCTATAATCCGAAACAAAGCATGAAAATAATGACTTGAATTAGAGTAATGCTATTTTCTGTAAATGTAACGTAGAAGGATGTTAGCAATCATGCGGTACTTGTGAGTGCTATCTCCTGTTATTTATGGCATCTGAGATGTGAAGCATACCTTTACCAGCACTTATGTGTTGGAGGCAGACTGCCACATCAACCTGCTCTACACAGCCAGGCTCTTCCTCAAAAATAATGTTCATAATTCGTCTATATTGTTTCAGTGGCATTGCTTAATAAAGTTACTAGTAAACACCTACATGTTTATAAATTTTTTTCTATAGTTGTATTTCTTTAAATGTGTTTATTAAGTAGAACATTAAAAAAACAAGTAACAATAAGCATTTTTTCATGCACAGAGCCTTTCAGTTATCAAGGGTTGTTGTTGATGTTTAATATTTATTATTGATATATCTTTTAGTTAAACAGTGGTTATTCCTAAACCAACTGTATACCCAAATCACCACACAGAGACTAGGATTTATTTCATTAACATAGAGTACAATTCTGGGCAATAATTACTCCACCCTAAACTTCCAAACCCGCATAGCTTTCTCCCATTCAGATTTCTCACATTATACTTGCTTTTTAGTCATATCTTATGTCAGGTTCATCTCTCCTGGTGTTTCCAGCTCCTCTCCCCTCAGATCTCTCTTCCTGGTGTTTCCTCCCACTCTTCTCTCTCCTCCCTCCAGACTAGGTTGTCCCACCCTATTCTCTCCATTGCTCAGCATTGGCTGGATGATTTATTGACAATACAGAGAACAAATGGTGGCATGTTTGTGTGAACTTGAGACAGGTGGTATTTAGAAAAAGCATCACAATGCAATGTCCAGATTGAAACCAGATAGTGAGGTAGAGAAACCAGCATTTTAATGAACAAGGGTAAGTTGTATACATTCTACAAGAACATTATACCAACAAAGGGGCCTTTTAGCAAGTTGTAGAAGATGAATGACTGATGATAAAAAAAATCCAACCCTTCAAACCCTGCCATAACATTAAAGGGTTATATTTTCAGCTTTGTGTTGTGTTTCAAAGATGTGGCTGCATTTTGCTGTTGTTTCTGTGTGTCATGAGCCTGAGAGGCCCTCTGATGGAGAGTCCTAGCCCAGTTCTCTTTCTGAGAGCCTGATACCTGGCTTAGGTGGTGCTTCATGTGTCTACATCTGCAAATCCTTAAGATGCTGATGTGACTTTATCCTCTGGGCTCCTTGACTTGCTGAAGGTGTCCTAGGTGATTACAGTTTTCACCAGAGGCACTCGTGTGGGCCTCTAGCAAGTCAAGCTTGTGCTTTGAATGCTGAGGCATTTCTTTACCTGTAAATGTAGAAACAGTGTGTAGCAAGGACTCAACTAAACCTTTCAATTTATTTTTCTCAGCTCTGAAAAGAAAAGCTGTTCAATACAATTTTTACTGGGACATTGCATTATTTCAAAATTTGCTATTATGTAAGACCTCTGTGATTTTTAAAAATATTACATTCGTTCAAAGTTTACAAAATTTAAAGTCACATGCACATGAACTTTTTGGCACAAGTCATTGCATTGGTACTGAGCACACACCCCACACTCAAATACACATGCCTAAAGGGAGAAGGGGCAGAAACATTCTAGCAGTAGTCGTGTGCACAGAATAAATGTGTTACTAACATGTTTACTCCTCAAAGAACACACAGAGGGCACAGTCAGCCTAAGCTGTCTCTCCCTGTCCCCACGTTTATTGTGAATAGTTGCATGGGATAAGTTTTTCTTTTCTTTTTTTTTTTTTTTTTTGTTGGTTTTTGAGACAGGGTTTCTCTGTGTAAACTTAGCTGTCCTGGAAATGCTTTGTAGACCAGGCTGGCCTCAAACTCACAGAGATCCACCTGCCTCTGGCTTCCCAAATGCTGGGATTATAGGCATACACTACTGTGCTCAGCTAAGTGTGTATCTCCTTAAGTAGATTCTACAGTTTATATTTCTATTTTTTTGTGAGTTTCTTATTTCTGCTTGGTGAAGCATTCTTGTAAAATTTTTAGAGGAGAGAATAACATTTTACAGCACTGACTGGCAAAAATCAGTTCTGATCAACAAACTGTATAATTCCTTTTTTTTTTTTTTTTCTTTTTGAGCCAAAGTATCAGGTAGCTTAGGATGGCTTTAAACCTGCTATGTAGCTACGAATGATCTTAAATTTCTGATCCTTCTGTCTTCACTTCCTGAGTGCTGGGGTTACAGGCATGTGCTTCCATGGGAATCAGGGATTTTGGGCATGTATCACTGGGGTTAAAATCCAGGACTTTGTGCATGCTGGTCCAGCAGTCTTAACAACTGAACCATATCCTCAATTTTGTGATTAAATAAACATAACTGATAATAACAATACCATCCTTGTTCAGCTTGAAATGTTTAAAACTTAGTGGGAGGTAATGAGATTGTTCAAAGATGTGACTCTACTCCGGGAACACTGCAGAGAAGCAGCGGGGGTGGTGGTGATTGTAAGAGCCAGAGGTGGAGAAAGACCAGGGTGAAGCAGCATTTCCTGGACAAGACAGGTCTTCTCTACTCATGAACTCACAGTAGCTGTGGTTGCCGGTATCAGACCTGAGCAAGGTCAAGCCCATCAACTTTACATCACTGAGGTGGAGTTAGTTCTTTTAGCAATATGGTTCCCGGTAGAATGGCTATGGTCTAGTGGCTGGCTCTACATCCATTCATATCTGAGCCGCACAAAGCTGGAATCAGTGGTATATAAAAGGGGGTATACATGAAGTTGGGAGGGAGTTATGGGGGTGATTCTGGGAGAAATTAGTAGGAATAGGGGGTGGATGTGATCAAAATGCATTGTTCTGTATATATGGAATTTTCAAAGAATTTATAAAAATATATGAAAAAGATATGATTTAAATATAAATAGGTGATAGACATATATAATACAATTTCTAAATATAGAGGTGGTGGTGTTAGAGTTCAAGAATAGTCTCACAAACTGCTCAGACTCCAGTCTCAGTCAGATGTGGGTGGTTTATTGAATGCACACCCAAGAACTGATCATGATCAGGGACACAGAGTGGACTTAGCCGCCAAACTTCGATACTGAACTGCTCTTTTTTCCCATTATTATTATTTTTAATTAAATTTTTATTTTTATATTAATTATAAATTAATTATTAATTTATATTAATTATAGTTTATTTACTTTGTATCCCAGCTGTAGCCCCCTCCCTCATTTCCTTCGAGTCCCACCCTTCCTCCCTCCCTCATCTCCTTCTTGCCCCTCTCTAAGTCCACTGATAGGGGATTCTTCCTCACCTTCCATCTGACCCTAGCTTATCAGGTCTCATCAGGACTGCTGCAATGTCCTCTTCTGTGGCCTAGCAAGGCTGCTCCTCCCTTGGGGGTGGAGGGAGAGGTCAAAAAGCCAGCCACTGAGTTCATGTTAGAGACAGTCCCTGTTCCCTTTATTAGGGAACCCACTTGGATACTGAGCTGCCATGGGCTACGTCTGAGTAGGGGTTCTAGGTTACATCCATGTATGGTCCATGGTTGGAGAGTCAGTCTCAGAAAAGACCCCTGTGCCCAGATATATTTGGTCCTTGTGGAGCTCCTGTCCTCTCCAGGTCTTAGTAACTCCCTCTTCTTTCATATGATTCCCTAAACTCTGCCCAAGGTTTGGTTATGAGTCGCAGCATCTGCTTTGATAGACTGCGGTAGAGTCTTTTAGAGGTCCTCTATGGTAGGCTCCTGTCCTAATTCTTGTTTTCTCCTACTTACAACCTGCTCTTAAAGTAGGCCTTTTATAGGAAAACCAAGTGCAGAAAGCAAGGAGAGAGCATATTACATTTTAAGTACATTTTGGCTAAGTAGACAAAATGTTATTAGCTGACTTTTAAGCTGATTGGTCCCAAATGCAGCAAAAGAGATGTGGTAGGAGGTGTCTTTCAGAGTGTAAAGATAACAGGGCATGAATAATGAAACCACCGAGTCAGGTAAAATATAAGCTTAATTTGACCTTTTAGAAGAAGGGTTATGGGGGGGGTCTGGAGAGATGGCTCAGTGGTTAGGAGCACTGTCTGCTCTTTCAAAGGACCCAAGTTCAATTCCCAGTACCCACATGGCAGCTCACAACTGTCTGTAACCCCAGTTTCAAGGGATCTGACATCTTCACAATAATGCACATAAGATAAAATTAAAAAAAAGAGGGTTATTTTTTGTCACCATTATTTATAACATTTGGTGGGCAGAGTCTGAGAATTTGAATTTAATTTTGCCTCATGATCAAGATGGAGACTAAAGACAAAATGGCTGTAGTTATGTTAAAAGCTAAAGCAGGTCTCAACAGTTTTAATTCCTCTCCTCCTTTCCCCAGAGGTAGCTGTTGTCCCATTTCCTTGTCAGTCTTGCAGAGAAAGCCTCTATTCTAGTTCTGTTCCTCTCCCAGTGTAGCCTGGCTGGCCTGGAACTCTCTACAAAGTCCAGGCTGCCCTCAGACTCACAGAGATCCACTCGCCTCTACCTCCCAGTGCTGGGACTAACAGTATGTACCAGCACTGCAGCTTTGTCCTAGTTATTTCTAATATAGAGTTCAATTGCTTATTTATTTTAGGTAACTCCAGAGCTGATGATGAAAGCATGTACATTTTACACTGGGAATTTAGTAAAGAACCATTTTAGGTAAGAATGTGACCTTCCATCTTATTTGTTTTTCTTTGTTATATTATTCTTGCTATTACCATGCAGAGGAAAGGCCATTCTTGGCCATCTGTGCTTCCAGGCCTTTGCAAAATTGTCTTCTTTTATATTTGATGAGCTTATATTTAGTTAAAATACCTCTTCTCTAGAAATATAACTTGTCTAAAACCCTTGGAGTTGGATATGTTTGGGAACTTAAATTCCTTATTTTTTTATTTGTTTATGTATATATATATATGTGTGTATATTTTTTCAAGACAGGATTTCACTATGTAGTCCTGGCTGTCCTAAAGCTCATTGTGTAGACCAAGGTGAACTAAAACTCATAGAGATCTGTCTGCCTCTGCCTCCTGAGTACTAGGTTAAAGACCTGTACCACCACTGCCTGGCCTTTGAAAAAATTTTAAATTCATCGTTAAAGGTGTTTCTCTGCATAAATTGAAGTTATGGTAGTGATGTTATCCCACTATGTGTTTATTTTATTAAAAAAGAAACATAACTGCCATATATCATCTTACTCCACCCCCGTAACTACCAGGAATTCTTCAAGATATAACCCCAGTTTGCATTTTTTTTTCTTTTTGTGCTGTGATTTTGAGGGGATAAAAGTGATTGATTAAAATGGAATGAGCTAATGGTGAAATAAAGCTATATTATCTAAATGTAGGTTTATTAGGACTAGCGTGGGAGAGGGAGGGGCAGGGAGAGAGAAAGAGGGGAGAAGTGTGCACAGAGGGAAGGAAGGAAGAAGAGGAGGAGAGACACAGAAAGAGACAGAGAGGAGAGCAGAGGAGAGGCAGAGGGGGTGGAGAGAGAGGGAGGGCAGAGAGAGAGAGAGAGTGAGGGAATGAGGGAGGGAGGGAGAGAGGGAGAAAAGAGGCAAGGGGACAAAAGGGTGACAGGATTCAAAATGTCTGGATTATATGGTGAAGGGCCTCTGGGAGAGGGGAAGCCCTGCCCCTAGGTGGAGGGCAGGGTACACCAGCCACGTGCTGAAGCAGATAGGGACCTAACAAAAAGGAATCTCACTTCCTGTTTTTCTTAATTTATTTACTACTATATCACCCTAGCTTCAAAGTCATATTTTGAAAATAATGTTTTTCTGTATCTTTTGCCTGCAGTTGTTGGAAAGAAGTTACAATGCCTCATGCAAATCAAGAGGCTATCATGGCCGAAAAAATGAACAGAGCAATAGTACATCACAAGTTGAAATGTGAAAGATTCTTTTTCAACATCTGGTTATCTTACGTGGAAGACATTAGAGAAAAGGTTTCAAGTAAATGTCCATAACATAGCAATTAGTTTTGGTATTCAGTTATGCAGTGAATCAACAAGCTAATAGTTAAATATATACCAAGAGAACATGTTACTTTCATGTTTAGAGAGCTGTTTTTAAATGAACCAGTTAAGAGTACTTAGTGAAAGGCTTGGCGTGGTGGCACGTGCCTAATGGTACTCAGAGTACTGGGACAGAAGCAGTGAATTCAAGTCCAGCCTGGGCTACAGCGTGAGACCTGGTCATAACAAAACAAGAAAAGACAAACAAAACAAAACAGAACAAAACATGATAGTGAAACCTAATGATTTTGTTAGATTTATTTTAAAATATTTAATTGCAGTGGAAAGTATTCACAGCTAAAATCAAATTATACATACACACACACACACACACACACACATACATATATATCTACACACACACAGTCTACTGTTAGCTCTTTGGTGTGGTACTGAGCCTAATGCCCTGTACATACTAAGCAAGCACTCTTCCGCAGAGCTACAGCTACAGCTTTATTTTCCCTTTTTAACTTGGGACAAAGTCTTGCTAAGTTGCCCAGGTGGGCCTTGAACTTGCATTCTCCCCTGGTCCCGCAGTAGCTGAGATCACAAGCTTGTACCACCATGGCCAGCTACTTTGAGCTCTTATGCATAATACAGAGCTAATAGTATATTCTTGTTAGAAACCAAAATTGACACAGAGAGTCTGTATTCCGTATACATATTTTCTTTAGGTGTCCATGTGAAGGGGCTTAAATAAAAACAGTTTTCTTGACTGTGACGCATGGAGAACACATGTGTGATCTTAGGAGGGCCAGAGAGACCCCTGGTGTAAGCATCCTGGTATAAACCTTTCTGGATGCTTATACCAGAAAGCTGGTGGCAAACCAGAAATATCAGTTGATCTCACTCTTGCTCTTGTTAAATGGTCTTACTGTATAGCCTAAGATGGCCTTGAACTCAAGACAGTCCTCCTGTTTCAGCCCCCTTGTTCTGAGTGTGAGTCACCACACCCAGCTGGAAATCATTTCCTTTTGAGCTTTGCTGTCTGTCCCTGCTTCAAAGTATCTCTGACGGTTTAAACAGAAACATAATTAAGGGTTAGATTAGCTAGCTAGCATGTCTCAGGGTTGTCATAGTAGGAAATGACACCCTTCAGCATCCTGAATGAACTGCCAGCTCCTGAGAGAGTGAGGCTGTCCTATACCAATTTTTTGTCTTCTCTGCCCTTCGAGGTTCTTCTTGTCTCTTTGCACCTCTCTCCCGTTCTTGTCAGTTTTCTTTTCCCAGACCTTTCCCTACTTCTGCTCGTCCCTTCTCTTTGGTTCCATTCTTTTCCATTTGGTTCTCTTCTCTACTTTGCCTTTCTCTCCTGCAGCTCTCATTCTCATTCAGGTGAAATCACACGACACCCTGCTCCTCCTGCCTTTGTCCCGCATCACTCCATCCTTTTTTACTGTTTCTTTTCTGTGGTTCACATCCTTCTAGCACGTCTACTTATATATGCCCTGTGTCATCTTAGGCCTCCCTAACTCACAACACCCAATCACATATTTATAAATTATGTATTATATTTGTGCTGACACGATTTATATTCCCGTTTGTAATCTAAATCAAGCCACTCCAACGTTACATCATCTTTTGGGGTTGCTCTTCCAGAGGATCTGGGATCAATTCCTAGCACGGCAGCTCATAACTGTCTGTAACATCAGGACCAGGGGATCTGATGCCCTCTTGTGACTTCCATGAGTACCAGGCATACACCTGGTGCACAGACATACGTGCAGGCAAAACACCCATACATTTAATATATAAAAATAAAAGCCCCCAAATTATGTAATCTCTTAAAAAGACCCAAGTCACATTTATATGGTGACACTTCATGAAGACTGTTCCCTTTTCTTTACCCTGAAGTCAGGAAACATTTGTTCCACATAACTCTCAATAATGAAAACTTAAAATTTTGATTGATTATTGTCAAAACTTCCAAATAGTAAGCCTAAACTATGATTCTCAAAGTAGTACCATTAAAATAAAGAAATAGTAGTAGCATAGATTTCCAGTATTTAAATATTTTATTATATAATTGTACTATGGAATGTCTCAAATAGTCTAAAGAAATATTCTAAGCTGGTTTAGAAGAAATATAATCTAGTACTATTAAGTGATATAAGATGAGGTTTTGAAAAAATAATATGCTAATTCTTCTTAGGATGTTTTAACTTCATACTTGTTAGAATTTAAGTGATACAAACTGAAATCAGTGCTAGGATTTGCATGTATAAAATCATAATTTTGGTAGATAACAACTCAAGTAAAAAGCATTTAACTGAAAATGAATAGAAGAAATTACTGTCTTACATAAATCATTAATTCTTAAGTCCCTGTCTTGTGTATCCATCTGGAAATGTTGAAGTTTGTAAGATAATTTGTCTTTCAAAAGACATCCTTATGTGGGCAGACCTGGATTTGTTTGCTGCTCTGAGAGTTGGACTTGGCCCTGGCACTGAGCTCTGCTGATAACCCAGATGACTTACTTGAGAGGGAGGAAGAACCAGGAGGGAGGGGAGCTGATGAGAGCACAGCAGATGTAGCATCGTGACTGTGCGTTTACTTCTCAGCTGTCACAACAGTCTAAGGGCCAGTATGGTCGTTACCTGAACTAGTTGAGTTCTGGCTTCTCAAAGAGCTTAGACTTCAGGTCAGAACTGTGATGTCAGTGAGAGGCCAGCCTATAAGTAGAACAAAAAACAAAACCAACCAAACAAAAAAACCTAAAGGCCTTAAAATTTCACCTGTGAGGCTGAGACTTCTAGCAGCCATGTTTTGGTCTGTTTGCACAACATTCAAGTGAAAAACAAGGTTGTCGAAGTTTAAATGTCAGAAGTATTCACATGCAATTCAGATACCCATTTTCAGTTGAGAAGCAAAGTAAAACAAAAACCCAAAGTCAAAGCCAAAACAAAGATAAAGAGAAAACCAACTTCTGAGAGAAAACAGGGGAGCATGCAGCCAGCGCAGCCAGCGCAGCCAGTGCAGCCAGTGCAGCCAGTGCAGCCAGGTATAACCAGTGCAGCCAGTGCAGCCAG